CCATACGTATATAGATATAAATAGTACCTGTAGCAATTTTGATGTTTAAATTAATATGGCAGCCATTCAAGTTCTTTTCAAATCACATTTTTGAAAAGTTTCTTTTCAAATCACATTTTTCAGAACTGATAGTTCTGTTGAACACTGGGTCCAGTGACCCAGAACAATCATATAAAATGTTTAGTAAAAAAAAATCAAATGTGGTAAGAATGAATGCAAAGCAGCCCTGGCACATTTTTGTGTCTGTAAGCAGGATTCTACAGGCCAATGCCAGCAGGGTTTTGCCTGTGGGAAGCTAGAGAAAGTCAATGCAAATCAGGGCAGTTTCTCAAGAGAGTAACATGTGTGGACAAGTATTTGTTTATGGCCACAAAATGCCTTTTCTTTCCTTCTGTCTGAAACTTGAACTTCCTAGTAAGTTGTTTAAAGGCAGCGCACCTTGAATAAGTAAGTGCTGATGCAACCATGAAAGAGTACGAGTTAGAAATGCTCTTTTGGTCAGCATCATTTGAGGAGAGCATGGGTTGCATGAAGAGGGGTGAGGGGAAATTGCTGTCCCCACCTCCTTTTTAATGATGATTGAAAAAATACTGGGCCTGCCTCACAGTCCAGGAGAACACTGCCACTTCTGTTGCTGGTCCATCTGCTTGAAGCAGTTTAGAGGAAAGACTTTGTGCTCTGTTTGTTTTGAATACTGCACAGCACACTTTGGTGCTCAAAGCTTTGGTTTCAATGTCTGTGAAATTCCAGTTTCCTTCAGACTTTACTATCTTTCACGTTCCTTCCAGCTTTGAAATTTTGGATTCTAAGTTATGTCACAGGTAGATGCTGCTCTGTGAAACACATGAAAAATGTGTCTATGATTTTGAAGCTGGACTGCCCACAGCTTTACAAGTACTTATGGGGTGTTTAAAATTTGTTCAGCACTGTGCCAGACCCTATGGAAGATGTGGAAATGTACTACTCACTCCAGTTTATAGTTCAGTTAGGAAGACAAGATATAATTAATTCATGTTAAATAACATACTAATTTTATTTCTTCAAACATTCCCCTTTGATTTTCTTTTTTCTTTCTCTCTGTTCTGTTCCTTCTCATTTCATTACCCAAGCTGATCTTACCTGCTTGCTAAACCCGGTAGTCCCTTCTCTCCTTTCTTTGGTTTCTTCTTTAGGACAGTGGGAGCCCAAATGGTAAATGTTGATCACTTCACCCCTGGACACCTGGCTTCATGAACATCCTATCACTAGGATGTAACCAATTTGCATTAGGTGACTGTGTATAAAACTCATCAAACATATTTAAAACAAACACACACATACACAATTATTGCTAGATATCTGAATAAGAGAAATAGTATGACCAATGAGACAATTCATGAATAGTGCTCTGTTTCTTGCATAGAAGCTAGAATATATATCAGCATTTCTCAAAGTGTGGGTTGCAGATGACTTGTTTAAGAATCAACTTGAGCGGTTGTTAAAAGTAGAGGTTTCTTAGACCGCATTCCAAACTGACTGAATCAGAATACTTAAGAGTGGAGCTTGGGGAATTTCATTTTGAAGACCCCTAGAGTGTTTCCTAGGCAGGAGAAGGATATAATTCTGGGAAACTTGGAGAACTTATCTTAGAGTTAGAAGTAGCAATTCCTTGGAACATTGGTGATGGTGACTAACACCCCAAAAGACAAGGTCAAGTAATGTAATTTATGCAGTAGACCTCTTTCACCACCTCCTAATCCTTCTTTAATCCATCTTGAATTAATAATGATACTTGGTTTACAACTCTGCTTTAGCCTTCACTTCCAGCTTGCATAGAGCGTTAAGGTCAGCCAGAGGTGAAATCTTGGGACCTTCTCAGGTCTTCCCTGAGCATGTGCACAGCCTTTGGCCTGTGCACAGACTTACGCATGCACGAGGCCTTCCAGATTACCAGGAATATGTCCAAGCTTTTCATAGCCTCTGTGGATATCTTATTCCCCAGATTTTCGTTTTAAGCTTTCTCATCTATTGTTTGCTCTCTTATCCTCCACCTCAGGCAGTCATGATGTTAAAATGCTTGCCTGTAATTGTTTTCTACGTCACCTGGGAAAAGGCTTTTCACAACGGGTAAACTCTAAGTCAAGTCAAATAAAGACAGCTTTGTAAGTGAGGTCTTCCAGGGAACCGACAGACAGGTCAGATAATGACAAATTTTTGAGAATTGGGTTTTTAAAGAGCTTCAGCTCTGTTCTTATCCTTCTACTGGCTGCCAGGTTGCACTGAGAATGTAGGCTGTTAATTTTTAAGGCTACTGCATAGCAGGAGGAGCCCTGGTGGTGCACTTGGCTGCTAACTAAAAGTTTGGTTGTTTGAACCCACCAGCTGCTCTGCAGGACAAAGGTGTGGCAGTCTGCTTCCCTCAAGATTTATAGCTTGGAAATCCCCTGGGGCAGTTCTCCTCTGTCCTACAGGGTTGCTATGAGTCAGAATCAACTCGATGGCAATGGGTTTGGTGTTTTTTTCCCTTTGACTTAGCTGGAGAGTGGGGGACGGATTAGTGCAAGTTAAAATGCCACAAAGTTCACTAATCGTACTGGGATTCAGTTGTTTTTCATGAATAAACACTCCCCAGGTTGCTAAATGTCTTTCAACAAAAAATTATTAAACGTACAAAGAAATAAGAAAGTATAGTCCATACACAGGAAAAGAAAATTAATAGAAACGGTCCCTGAGGAAGCCCAGACATTGGACTTATTAGACAAAGACTTTAAATATCAGTGTTATTGTGGCTTTTCATGTATTTGTTTGTCTTATGTAGGTATTTTACTGAGGAGTCAGGAGGAGCTGTTGTTGACTGTCCTGATGCTACTTTAAGCTAACTTCTTTTGCTCAACACAATATTTAAAAAAATTGTTATTCAATATGATATTTTTGACATTTATTAATTTGTTGCTTATAACAGTATCTCATTATTATTTTGAGAATGGGAATTTAACTGATTATTGCTGTCATGAAATTTTATTTGTTGAATTTCTTAGATATGCTTCCTACTTCTAATTTGGTCTAGTAATTTTTCAGTTGACTTTCTTGTTTTATTTTTTTCCAAATGTATGGTCATAAATTCTCTTAATAGTGACATTTTAGTTTCGTCTTTTATACTACTAATACCGCATATTATTTTTTGTTTTTTTCATTGACTCCAGTCTGTCTAATGTCCTATTATAAAACACAGTTCTTGGTGCAGGGGTCGCTTATGGAGTTAGGAAAGTTTTCTTCTCTCAGAAATAGGTGCTGAATTTTACTGACCATTTTCTCAGCATTTATTGAGGTGATTGTACGTATTTCCATGTTAGTCAGCTAATCTAATAAATTAATAATGAATTATCTGTGTAGTTCTGGAAAAACCTTTTTGTTCAAGTTGTATTATTTCTAAATATGCTGCTTGATTTTTAAATATTTTGTGTGGGAATTTTGCATTTATATTCCTAAGTGAGGTAAACTATAGGTTTCTTTCTTGAGGTATTTTTAATTCATCTTTGACATCATTATCTAACCCACATAGGATGTGTTGAGAAATTTCTTTAAAGTATTTTATTATGAAATATTTAAAATGTAGAACAAATACTTATCATTAAGCTTTGTCAAAATTTAATATTTTGCCATATTTACTTCCAATTGCTTAAATAAATAAAACATTGCAGATAGAGTTCAGGTGCCTTTTGTACATCTCCCCAATAGTTCCCTCTCTCCTAAGAGCTGCACAGTACCCTGAATTTTGTGTTTATCATTATGTGTTTATACTTCAATGATATATTTATAAATCTGTAAGAATGTAAAGAATTATTTGCTGACTTTCACATTTAGTGTCTAAGTAGTATATTTACTATCTATTAGTGTAGTTATTAACTATATATTATTAAGAGTGAAATTTCTGGAGCCTAATAGTCTCGGTTTGAAATTTCCAGTTATAACTGTGGATTTGTCTATTTGTCCTTTCAGTTTGGTCAGTTTTTGTTTTATGTATTTTGAAACTCTGTCGTTAGTGCATACTGCTATGTCTCCTTAGTGACTTGACCCTTTTATTATTCTGAAATGATCCTCTGCACTGTTTCAGGGTACCTGATTTAATATTACCTATTTGACTTTTTAAATCTGATGATGTATCTATGGAGATCAACAATTTAAAAAGCCATGAACTTGTAATGAAAAAAGTATTTTTATTGTATCTTTTGTTCTATATTTCTCATTTGTTGCATTGACTAAATTATATTTCTCAACTGCATTATATTGACTAGATCTTTGTTACACTGAATAATGTGTCTTACTGATTTTTAAAATTGTCTTTAATTGTTTTCTTTTCTCCCTTCAAGGATGTTTCTTTAATGGGAAAAATGCAGTGGCACAAAACATCTCATATACAGTCTGAGCACGGATTACAGATAAATGCTGAGGAACCTCAAGTGGTAAAGTCTTTAATAAAAATCTTCCTTGCCTGTGTTAGAATAGAGTCTCTGGGTGTGCAATTGGTTAAATGCTCAGCTACTAACTGAAAGGTTGACAATTTGAGTCCACCCAGAGGCACCTTGGAAGAAGGTCCTGGCAGTTTACTTTTGAAAGATCAGAGCCATTGAAAACCCTATGGAGCACAGTTCTACTCTGAAACACATGGGGTTGCCATGAGTTGGAATCTACTCAAAGGCAACTGGCTTGTTTTTTTTGATATTATAATAATAGCATGCCTTTTGTTGTCTGAATGTTTATCTAGAGAGTGTTTTTGAGAAAATACCTGATTTATCTTGGAGAGGTGCGTTTAACTCTAAGCACATCTAACCCAGTATCAGTTGGGAATCCTGGTTTTTCCGACTCTCTGCTGATGCATACCTGTAGACCTTCTGAATTAAAGCTCAAAATTCTTTTCAAGAGGTAAAGAATTAACAACTCTTCTGGCCTAGAGACATTCAGATCTAGAAGTAGTTGGAGAATTATTAAAACATGAGCTTATAGGAGAGCATTACCTTACTCTTTGTACTTACTCTTTACTTACTATCTTGTTATCCAACATTTTGCATTTACGACAGTAAAAAAAAATCTACCATCTATTTTGCTCATTAACGAGAAGCCAAGGTGAGAGGGGAAGGAGGAGGAGGAAGGCAGGGTTTGTGAGAGGAGCGGGGACATGTGGGCTGTTAGAGGATGGTATTTCCTGGGTCAGTGAGCTGGGCTGGGCCTGTGGCAAGCGAGGGGCATGCCCTGGGGCCTCAGGAGTCGGGCATGGGGGCTTGGAAGTTTCTTCTTCTAAAGAGGCCTCTTTGCCCCCTCGCAGCCTCAGCTGGGCGCGGGTGGCTGGACCTCATGTGTCCACAGGTCTGTCTCCAGGCCGGTGGAGCAGGAAGGTGGTGAAGCCAGCTGGATCCACGCAGAGGCCTGGAACGTGGCCAGGTGACAGTGGGCCCGTCCTGCTCCAATGCAGCAGGCAACCCCGGACCACCACACCACCATCACCCCAACTCCCACAGGCTCCGCCGTGGTAGGGAAGGTGTGGTGGGGAAATGGGGGGCCTGCCACACCAAGTGCGTCCTGAGAAGTGCCGGGGGCACTCAGTTGATGGGGGGGAACACTGGTGTCAAGGACTGTCCTGACTCCTGCATAAGCTGATTTTCGCATAACAACCTGGTCTTTGTAACCTAACCAAGTCAATAAGTGAGGTGTTAGGTGAGTTTTGTTAGAAGAATTGTTGAAAGCATTGACAAGGGAAGAATTTTATAGAGAAATATAGGTAGTGACAGAAGTTTGTTTCAGAAATAAAACTCCCTTTTCATCCATCATTGACAAAATACTTGTGGTAGTCAAAGGAATCTAGAACTTATTCTGTGTGAGTGGGAAGTGCCTCCCTGTGTATAGAAATCCACATTTAGATTAAACGAGTGATGGCAAGATGATCAGTTCCCTTACAAAGGATTTGTGAAATGATATGATTAAATAGCAAGCTCCTTTAGTTCCTGAGAATATGATCCCACATACATAAGAATTCAGATCACCCTTCATTTTAAGGAACATGTCTGGTTAAGAAAGGGTGCAGAACCTTTTCTTTTCACAACAGCCACGGGTACTATAGTGTTAGAATTATCATAAATGGTAAAATACTAGAGTTTGAGATCCTTCTAGATTGAGATATGTCTTTTTCCCCTTTGTCGTCCCTTCCTCTGCTTAGGTCCCAGCAAAGGTATGTGGATAAATGAATTGTGTAGCCCTACCACATATGCTGTGTGTGGGCTTATTATTGATATCTAGGGTAGCTGCATCTAGGTTGCACCATTTCCAGGTAGATATAAAAAAATCTTGACCTTTAAATATCTCTAATAGGCATATAAAGCTGAAAATACAAGATTAGTTAAGTTTAGAAAAATAGAAATCTTCATTAATAGAATAAACCTGACTTAATACTGTTAGCTACATATTCATGTCAAGTATAAGAAAAGATACCTTTTGAAGGAAACTATACAAGAGGCCAACTATTAGGTACCTAGTTTAGACATCATTTTGATTATTTAAAATGAAGACATAAACAAAATATCAGTTTCTTTGTAACTTTGTGGAAACCATACTCTCAGCTTTGATGTTTACAAGCAATCACCGGTTGGTCTTTGGCTTTTTATGAGGAAGCTTACTACTTTAGAGGTAAAATGCCTCATGCACCTGGCTGTGGTAGAAAGGCTCCTCTGTAGTGTCATTCATGCTAGACACACTTTTTGGGCGCCTCCTCCATGCCAGAGAGCAGAACTCTGTCCATCCTACTTGTCCCTCAGACTGCCCAAGAAACTGCCCTTGCCAGTTCCTGGGCTAAGATTTGCCTGGGCAGCCCTGTCGGTGTGCTCCCACCCCAGGAGGGCCAGCCCTTTCTAAGTGGTGCCTGGCACGCTGCCTTCAGAGCATGGCGGCTTCAGTGTGAACTCTCAATGCCACAGGGCAGGGCTCTCTTAGTTCTTTCATGCTACTTGTTTCCTTTTTGAAATGGAAGCTTCCTTTTTTTTTTAATTTTGTTGTAGTTGTTGAGAATATACACAGTAAAACGTACACCAGTTCAACCATTTCTACATGTTCAATTTAGTGACATTGATTACACTTTTTGAGGTGAGGTGTTCAGCCATTCTCACCCACCTTTTTGAGTTGTTCCTCCCTCATTAACATAAACTCACTGACCCCTAAGGTTAAAAAAAGGAACATTCTTAATGGAACACCTTTTCAAGTACTCACCATTTTGAATATAAAGAACCATCATAAAGAGTGATTTCCTCACATAGTCACAAAAAATAAAAACATGAAGGAATTTATTCCTTCTTTCTCCTATTATTTGTCAGGCATTGTTTTAGACAGGGTTGATGCAGAGGTATAAATACAGTGAAGACTGCAAGAGCCGGAACTGAGGAGACTGCCTTGTTTTTCTGGGTCTCGAAAGTTTCCCGCCTTTGACAGGGTGCGGTCTTACTTTTCTGTCACTAGTTTTAGTGGGAAATGTTTTAGTTTTCCTTCTCTCACAGGTTTCTGTTTTACACAGGTTCTGACTTTTGCAGGTTTTACTGTAACAGTTTTTGCCCTTGAGGAACTCATTGTATAGGGTCTACATATATATCAAGAGACAATTTGCAATACTATGCAATGAATATCCTAATAGAGATTAATTACATAGTAGAAAAAATTGAAATAATTTTATTTCATTTATTCATTCACTCATAAATTATTGCAGAGTCTACAATGTGCTAAGAGTTTGAGATATAAAAGATAAGTGAGACACTTTAAATTTTATAAGTTCTCAAACTTTTTGGTCTCAGGATCCCTTTATACTATAAAAAATTAGTTTGAGAACCCAAAAGAGTTTTTGTTTGTGTGAATTTTTACCAATATTTACCATATTAGAAATTGAAACAGAAAAATTTTAAGTGTTTATTCATTCCTTTAAAAATGCCAATTTATATCAATATAAGATTTTTAATGAAAAAAAAAAAACTAACTCTGTTTTCCAAAACAAAAACAAATTAGCTTGAAGAGTGGGATTGTCTTTCATTTTTTACAAATCTCTTTAGTATCTGGTTTAGCAGAGAGCTGGATTCTCATATCTGCTTCTTCATTCAGTCTTTTGCAATATGTTGTTTTGGTTGAAGTACATTAAGTAATTCTGACCTCACTCAGGTTTGGAAAGGGAACTGTATTTTCATAGCCGTTTTATGTAATTATAGATACTGTTCCTTGTTAATACACCAAAATTTCACAAGTGGTAGTTTTTTAAAGGTTAGTTGCAATGTAGAATCTGAAATCAGATAAATGGACTATTTGTATATAATTACATTAAAATCCATTGATCTACCTTGCACTTTGAATGGATCTTTTTTACCCCTGTATGACTTCATAACCTCACGAGTTAGCGTTTGAAAAGTATTGATTTACTCTTTTACTCAGCGTTGCTTTTCCATCATCAGTGTAAATATCAACACAGTGAAAAAGGGCAAATAATGTTTTAGTATTATTATGAATATAGTTTTGACATTGCAGACTCCCTGAAAGGATCTTGAGAACTCTCAAGGGCCTGCAGACCACACTCTGAGAACTATTAGTCTGTTGCGTGAAGGGGTTCAAACACAACTCTGCTACTTAATCTCAGTGTGGCTTTGGGCTAGTTATTTAACTTTTCTAAGCCTCGGTTTCCTCAGTCATAAAATGGCATTAAAAACAGTTCCTACATCATGAATTTCAGGTGAAGATTAAAATTAAATGAGATAATGCTCAATATAAGTTGGCAATTATGATTATGATGATTATTACTTAGACATTTGTAATATAGTATGTATGATATATGCTAAACTAGATAGAGTCAGGGAACAGAGCACTGGTAAGATCAGGAAAGATTTTGGAAGGAGGAGAGGTTGGGCAGAGTTCTGAAGAAATTGACTAGATGAATTGCAGCTGGAGGACTACAGTTACCCTCTCCTCAAGCTTGTTTTCTTCCTGCATTTTCTATTTTGGAGGATGGGTGGTATCTTCATCTATTCAGTCTCCCAAACCAGAACTCTAAGTGAGTGTGTTGAGGAGGCCAGAAGGAAAAGAAAGGGAGTAATCAAAAGCTATGGAACAGAAAATGAATGAGTTTGTCATAGGTACAGGGCCCATTACACATATTATCTCAGTGCGTCTACTCTGCCATTTTATCGAAAAGGTTGTATTAGCTCCTTTTTTAACCGAGGAGGAAAATGAGAGGCTAACCAAAGTTAAATAAATTGACCATTATCACATATCTATTAATTGGCAAATCCAGGATTTGAGTTCAGCCCCGTCTGATTCCAAAGCTGTTAGTCTTTCTCCAGCATCATCCAGTGGCTTTATAAAAACAGGAGCTCAAGATTAAAGTTTCATTTTACAAACTTTAAATTTCTTGAGCCAGCAATGCCTTCTTGCATAGTGAAGAACTTTGTGCTTGTATAGTATTTGGTACTGTATGTCATCTTTACCCTTTATTTTACTTACTAGCAAAGGAGTGTACTCAAGAACAAGGTGATGGAATTGCATTTTACAGTTATTCTATAGAATTCAGGCTTTTATGTAAGTAAGTCATATTGGTTTTTATCATTTTTTAATTTGAGGCAGTGATGTTTTAACTGCCTGTGCTCCATAATTTGCAAAGAATCTTGGTTTAAATTGACTAATACCCAAATATGGCCATGAAGATACTTTCATTAAGTTCTGCTGAGATACAGTTGTAAGTCAATGAGACATTTTTAAAGAATGCAAAACAGGTGTAGAGGTGAGAGTTTATGATAGATTTTCATTTGGCCTTGGGATGGAGCTGGGGTATCCTGCTAGTCTTCCCAAGACCTCTGAGTCAGTACTTCAGCTCTTCACTGAGGAATTGAGGTCAGGTTTCTGCAGGAACAGCATCCCATTTCTCGTGGCCAAAGAACCTCAGTTTGGGCTTGGGTGTCTCAGTGTACCCGAGGCTGATCTAAAAGCAAAGCTGGGATAATGAAAATGAGAACCAGCCAGCAATGTCTTTTTGTTGAATGTATGCTAGCCCTTGACTCTGTGTGAGTGTGGGGTGGAGTCAGGATAAGATCATAGTCTTATGTATTTTCTTGGGGTTTGTGATAATAACTGTGGGGTGACTATCTTTTTTTGGGACAAGGGCTTAGACAATACTTTGCCAGCCTCTGTTTTTCTTAAGTTTGAGTTTCTCTTTCTAAATCTTCACAGGAAATTCATCACTTCTGCTTGATCTCAAACATGCCTTTTCCTATTTATTTTGTTGTCAGCTAGAAGACACTGCATGACTTAAAACTTTGGAAGGACCAATTAAAAGAGCATTCTTTTATGTTTACCTTTTCCAGCAAAGTCTGCTTGAAGAAATTCCTGAAGCTGTGTCAAGCATTTTTCAGCTTGAACAAGAGGATATATCAGAATGGGGAGCCTCAGAAGCAGATAGCATGGTATTTAAACCTCAGGAAATTTCAGAAGTTCAGCCAGCAGAGGAATCACCTAAATTTTCGGGAGATGAACAGCCCACAGATGATTCAAAAGCAGCCAAGCGGGTGTCTGTAAAGGTAAAAAACAATAAAAGAAATAATGTTCATGTTGGAAACAGAGTTGTGAGAGTTCAGGATATGCAGGTATGAGTAAATGGTCAAGGGAGAAGCATGGGGGGGTGTCACCCTGAAAAAGTGGGCCTCAGAAGTGCAAACTGCTTATTTGGGAAAAGGGAACATTTAGTTTTTAAGGGCTTTAAGTCTCAAACTAGTTACAACTCCGAGGAGTGAGAACAGACTTTCAAGGAGTGAAGGGATCTCAGGGCTTTCAGAAAGACCAAAAGTCTTCCAGTTACTGTCTTGGGAGAGTCAGGAACCATATAGCCCAGGGCCCGGGACTGGATGAACTTCATAGCTTTATAACTTTCCTCCATTTAGGATTACCCTAACCCCTGAGTCTTTTCTTAATGTCAGAGTGTTTCCTAGATTTATTTTCTTTATGTATCATTTTAATAATTTTTTACCATATCTGCATGTCACGTTACTGTTATTTACTAAATACTTTTAATTTTTACTTAAATACATTTATGCAAACATAAATACATTATTAGGATTAAGAAAATCCCTTTTTCCATTTACCATAGTGTATCATCTTGATTATCACCAGGGGTCCCCTCCCTCGTTGATTCGGAGGGATACCCTTTCTTGGATAAACAACTTTCCTGGTTGATCTTTCTTTTTCCAAGACCCCCTCTCCCCACCAATCACCACATCCCTACCATGCTTCATCCCAGTCAGCTAGCCATTACCAGTTCTTCAATTTTTTCCCAAAACTCCCAACTCTGAAACCTTGGATTTATTGATGACCATTCTCTCCCCTTGCCTTTTATAAATAATCAGTCTCCAGGTCCTGGATTCTTCCCAAACATCACTGCTTATATTTTCTTCATCTTTGTTCTAGTTGCCCCCATGCTAGTCTGGGTCCTGGTGACCTTATGTCTGGATTAGCGCAATTACCTCTTGGTTTTCTTCATTTCTGAGGTCCTACCTTCTCAGGTTCATTTTGCATGACACTAGCATATTGATCTTCCAGGAACAATAGGTAATAAGGAAGATCCAGAAGCAATCAGAGAAACTCTACCTCTGCCGTCAGGGAGGAAGGATTTATTTTGTGATTGGTGACCAACCCTATCAGAAGGTAGCTGTCTTTCTGAAGCATGCACTTGGGGTATGAAGTGAAGCCTGCCAAGACTAAGTGAATCCACTCATTGCTAACTATTCCAGGTGAATCCTGTGTGTTAGGCTGACACCTTCTAGATGTGGAGACCTAGAAAGCATCTTTAAGGACTATGATATCTTGGTGAAAAGGTGTTAGGCTTATGTGCACAGATGGTGTTTTTATCTGTTCTTCTATCTGAGCTGCTGGGACTTTGAAAATAAAAGGTGGATGTGAGAGGAAAATGGTTAACTGCTGAGGTTATCAAAGAATAAAATGGATTTTCAGGACAGTGGCTTAACCATGATGGCCTGTCAGGAATTTCAAATCCTTCATTGGAAAAATCCTGTAATGTCAGTTCTTTTGGCTTGTTTTGGCTGGTAGTAAATATTATTAAGAAATTATGCAAAAATTATTTATTTTCGGTTAACAAGAGGTAGTCCTTTCCTATGGTAATTAGAATTTATTGAATATTTACCATGTGTCAGCCACTTCAGTAAATATTTTACACGTTATCTTATTTATTCCTAATAACAACTTATTATTACCCTCATTTTACAGCTAAAAAACTGAGTTATAGACATGATAAGTAACTTGCCCAAGTACAAACATCTAGTTAAGTTGTAGAGGCAGAACTTGAACTGAGGTTGTCTAATTCTGGAACCTTTGTTCCTTACCACTTTATAGTGCTGCCGTTTTGTAACAACAACTAATGAATGTCTGGTTAAGTGTAAAAACACACTTTCAACTGCAAAAAATGACTGGAATGGAGTGTCTCTCACAGAACTATCAAGGATGATTTGAGCAGAGAGACTCGGAGAACGGATTAAGAGGATTCCAAACTGAAACTAGAGGTGTTTCAAGGGGAGGAGAAGAGAATGTCTGATAAAACGTTATGGTTTCTTGTTGTGAAATATTGTGGGACACATAATAATGCCATAAAAAATAGCACTGGAAGTATTTCTGTGACGCATCCCACCAAGTCCTCACCAAGCATCTTGTATTTATCTATTTGTTTTAACATCTCAAGATCAATTATTATCAATGAACTTTACCCAGTAAGTGGACATTTGAGGCCTTGTAGTTAGTCTCTAGCATCTCTGGCCCAGGAATAAGGAGCAATATATTCCAACAAGTCTGGCCAGATTGGAGGGAAAAGAAGACCTCCTTCAACATAACTGATGAAACTAACACAAAGGTGTGAAAGAGAAGCAGTGGAGAACTTCAGCTACTCAGACATATGTCAGAAACTCTCATTTCACAAAAAGTAAAGAATTTTAATAAATCCTTACCTTTACGGCCATTTCTCCTCTCGGAAGTTTATTAGTACAATAAAGGTCATTTAGTACTCTGGTCTAAATCATGAGCAACAAAAAGGAAAGATTAATTAGATAGAAATAATGGTGACCTGTGAAGAAATGACTGACACAACAGTCAATAGAGGATTATTGAACATTTTAGGAGGGAAAATGTCAGTAAAAGTCTGTAAAAAATTTAGATATGATTACATGACCTGAGATTCTAAAATGAAAGGAAATGTTAAGAGTTGTGGGAAGCTCTAAACCTCCCAAATTCTCACAAAGTAACTATGAGTGATCTATTACATTCAGAGTTTTAAAACATAGAAAAGATGAAAGAAGAAATACATACCCGTAGATAAATGTGAAAGTGGCATGTGGCTATAACAATAATGCTAAAAGCCTAAGGTCCAGAATGGGTCGAGACCTGTGAATAATGCTAAGAACAAAATAGTATTTTGTGTGTTAGTTTTGGAGCAAAGAGAGAAAAAAAAAAGAAGGATAACCTTGTTGTTATGGATGAATAGTGTGATGAGAGCAGATGACAGAGCTGCTTTAATTTATTTTCGGAACAAGGTTGAAGTTTTAAATAAACAGAAATAATGACAAAGAGAAAAGGAAGCTGATAAACTTCTACTTTGCTTGCCTTAAATCTGACAAGGAGAATGATTTTTAGTTTAGGAAGAAGAGAAGAAGAATTGATAAAAGAAACTTGAAGCCCAAGATTGGTAAAAGATTTTAAGAGTTAGCCTAGATAAGTTTAAGTCTGTTGTCTCAGACACACTGATTCCTGCAAATGAGATTGGTGTGCCCTTGTCAGCAGTGGCTTTGAGGAACTGCTGCTATGGGAGAGGTGCCAGAAGCCTGGAGAATGACAACTATAGATCTGATTTTTTTTTCTCTTTTTTTAAGAGTGAAGATTGTGGTTTCAGCAGTCTATGCATTGATCTTGGACAAAACCCTAAAATGATTAAATGAATCATTAAAACGATAGTGTGCATGAACCCTTATAAAAGGAATCAGTAATCACTTGAAGCCAGCATGAGTTCCCTGAGGGCAAGTCATAGAAGATCAAACTCATTTCTTTTCCTCAAGTTACTAGACTGAATATCACAAAAACATTAGACCTAGTGTTCAACACGAGAGTATCATGGTGAAGAAGAGCACAGCATCTTGGGCCAGAATGCCAGAGGTAGAATCCTTGCTTTACCGTTTGCTAGCAGTGTGACCTTGGGCAGATTACTGAACTTCTTATCTGTCATTATCTGTAAAAAGGGGATCATGACAGTGCCTACCTTGTGTTGTTATTGTGAGGGTTATATTTGATCTTACAATATAAAGCGCTTAGAACAATGCCTGGCACACAAGAAAACTCAACATTGGTTATTGTTACTATAATCTAGATTTCAGCAATCCATTTATGAAAGCTTCCCAATGACAGTTTCAGAGACTAGATTGTGGTCAGGTAAACAAGTTAGTGGATTTGTAATAAGAATGCATATTGGTGGATGAAGAGACACTAGTGGAGTGTTACAGGGCTCTGTGTGATTCAGCATATTTTCCAACAATTTGGATGAAAATATGGAAGATTCATTGATTGGATTTGCAGATAACATCCAGAATTTGATGGATAAGATTTGGTTGGTCAGACTTGAGATGAAATTTCATTGGGACAAATGTATATATGGTTCTGCCCTTGGGTCCACAAACTAAGCGCATAGATATAGGATGACAACTTAACAGTAATGTGAAATGACTTCAGGGCTTCAGGCTATAATGTAGTTTTCAGATAGGAAGACAAATACAATCATAGTTTGTGTTGACTGATGAATACCATTAAAGAGGGTCATCTTTCTCCTGGCTGATCTGATCACGTCACACCTCAAATATTGTATTCAGATCTGGGTATTCTGCCCCAGGAGGGACACCGACAAATTTGAGAGTGTTTGCAAGAGAGTATTCAAAATGACAAAGCATAATACTTCGAAAAGGTGTCATGTGAGGCAGAATTGAAGGGACTGGGGATGCTTATCTGGGGGAAAAGCAGGCCCAAGGGAGTCAACTGTATTCAAATATTTCACTGTCTGTCTAATGGAAGAGAGCTAGATTATGCCTGTATGGTTACTGAGGTTTGAATTGAGACTGGTGGATGAAAGTTTTTAGGCCCAATAATGAAGAACCAAAAGATTCTAACAACTAGAAGACTTTCAAAGGGTTAGTGGGCTGCCTTTGGATACATCCAAGTTCTGTGTTCTTGACTGTGTTCAAGCCAGATTGGATGACTGCTTGGTGGAGATAATATTTGAATTCTCTCTACTTGCCGGAGATAATATTTGGTAGAGAGAATTCAAGTATTAACTGGATGGTCAGATGGAATGCTCTGTATTTTTGTCACTTCTTTACCCAAGAAGTTGCAATAGCTTTCTCATTGTATCAAGCCCAAATTCACTACCTAATTTATAAGAACCTCTCTTATCTGCCTTCCTATACTTACTCAACCGTATCTCCTTGCTTTCTCCAAGAACACTCTTTCTGCTTTCTTCCATCTAGTCTTAGAAAACACAGAGCAACCCACAGAGAAAAATATCCTTAGATGAACCATAACTATGAATTCAGCAGATTTTCTAGGAAAACAGTATTACAAATACCTATATTGATTAAAAGGCAATTATTTATGAGACAGAAATGTATGTGATTTTTTCCCCTAAGGAGCAGTAATAGAATATAATAGAACTGTAAGAAGTATAAATGGATAAACGTTGAAAATAGTTGTATAAAGCATTAAAGTTCTTTTTAGCTTGTGCTTGCAACCACCAGTCATGCTAAACTTTAAGACAGTAAGTGTAAGTTATATTAAAGTACCAATCAAGAAGAGAAGATATATAGAGGGAAAATATTATATTTCCTTTTCAGTATTTTAAGGCAATAAATAAAAGTAGTATAAATAAATATGCTGCTAATATTTTTATTGTTATGAAGCTGTATATGTAACAATTTAAGAATGAATTTAGAGGAAATTATGAATTTACCAGGGAGTCCCTGGGTGGCACAAATGGTTAAGGACTACTAATTGAAAGATTGGTGGTTTGAACCCACCCAGAGGCACCTTGGAGGATAGATCTGGTGATCTGCTTGAAAACCCTATGGAGCATTTCTACTCTGCATACATAGGGTTGCCATGAGTCGAAATTGACTCAATGGCGATTAACAGCAACAATATCAGTTTACCTTTAGGATTTACGTTCAGTTATAAAATATACCTAGAAATTATAAGTCTATGAGATGGACAGTTTTATAACGCTCGTGTTATAGCTTTCTTTAACAGCACACTTTATATATTTTTTTAAAGGTATCATCATCAGAATTCTTGCAAATCAAGGGAAAAGAAGTTAAACGAATGAGAAAAAGTAAATTAGAATTTCAGCAACAGAGACCAAGAAAATCTTTAAAATCCCCGAGGGATCAAAAACTAGCTAAAAAGTAACTTCCTTAAATTTACATATTTTACTGTCTGAAGAGAAGTTATTCAGTAGCAATGATACATGAAAATGCTTTTTTTTTTTTAAAAAAAGGAAAACTAAATGTTTTAGAAATTCGTATATGAGATCTGAGTTAAGCTTTCTCACAGGAAAAGTTGGTGACAGATTTGCAGTTAGGATATATATGCTCTACTCCATGCTTCTATTTCTTTGTTTGACCACTATTCTTACTTTGATGATGCAACAATAACTAGAATAAAAATAGACTGAAGAAAATTAAATATTGGCATGTTAGAGTTGATATTTTTGGTCACTATAATGTCTGATTTGGATTTACTACTTGTTATATTGGTTAATTTTGAAATGACAAATGATAACCCAACACAAAATGGCTATAGGCCAATCAATTTGGTAATTTAGATGGCTTTATTTTTCTCTACTATTATTTCATGTTTCATTTTTGCCTCATATTTTTATCGTAAAAAATTGCTGTTTTACACAGGAGTACAACTATGATTTTCAGTGATGGTGTATAAATGCAGTTTAGATTATGATTTACCATTTGCCATTCACTTTGTTGAAACTCTGATTTTCTCCTTATTTCACCAGTAGGTTTTTATGGCTTGGTTTATTCTAGATTCTTCTTCATTTAACACTTTATGGAGGCTTAAAGAAGTTTTAATTATTAGCTTTTGTTGTTGCTTAGGGCACTGAAATGTGTGCTGGACATGGAAGACAACCCTTTTATGGCCAACCTAAAGTTTGTAAATGGATATTACTCACAATTAAGTAGCTGAGAATAGACTCATGGGAAAAGAATTCCAAAGTTTATGAAACCGTCAAATTGGCATTTAAGTGACCCTGTACATGCCATTGCTTATCTGCATTGCTTTAAGTTCATTTAGTTAGCGAGATTATGTATTAAAACAAATAGTGACAGCAGACAACAAGTATTTTACCTTCAATAAATAGTTACTGTCAGATTATCAATGGTGCAGAAACTTCTTGATTTTTTTTCTGAAAAACCTTGCGTTTTAGTGCATTAAGCAAAGTCGCATGGCCACACACAGAGTCAGAGTCTTTTCTTTTTTATGTCTTGGTGTTTCAAAGAATGACAAATAGTCCTGTTTAAGGAGAGTGTGCTATAAAAACACACAGCCTTTCTTGAGCATGCCAAAAATATTTGTAGAGCTTCTTGACATATATAGTACTGTTTTAATTCATTAAAAATGAAATTAGAAATTTCCATCAGAGAGAAATAAGAATGATATGCAGAATAAAAATTCTGATTTTTAGAAAATTAATACAGTAAAAAAGAATTTTGGAAAAAGGTTTCTGAAAAAATCTTTCTATTGTTACTTTTTTTTCTTTAATCAATTTTTTACCTAACTTTTCTCATCAGTGACTAGCCCCCAAATTAAGTTGTTTTAATGGGAATCCAGCCATCTATTGAAAACATATTGCTGTTTGGCTCAATAACCAAGGGAGATTTACTTGCTGATTTATATTATTGGGGTGTGATGGGGAGCATAGGAATTCAGATTGGTTGTGATACCTTTTTAAGAAAAAATAAAAACCTGAAATGTAGTCTCGAGCACATTCCATAGCCAAGACCTGTCCCAGGCAGAATGATGATGTAGGTGAGCTTGGCATCTTAGGTCACCTTCTTCTCCCCTTGTTTTTATTTTTCAGCCTTTTCTTAAGAACACAGAGTGCCAGGGTGTCCTGGCTGCCTGGACACCCCTTTACACTCCCCCCTAGTCAGGTCTGTTTGTCTCAGGCATTTTCAAATGTTTTAGATTTACCTCCATTTTTCTCCCTCACATGAAAATGTGCAAATTTCATGCCTTGTTCTTATGCCCTGTTTTGTTTTAGAAATTGCATAAACAACTCTCTATAATGTACATGTTGTGCCTAGAAATGAGTAGGTGCTTTGCAGTGCATATTAGTAATAACAACAGTAAAAATAAAACAATCATTCCTTGAGAGACTTCCAGGGACCAGTTATGATATAGCTATTATTTTTATCAGTTCTTACAAATACAAGAGTTTTGAGATTTTTATTCTGATTTTATAAAAAACCTTCAGAGAGGCTAGTAATACAGTGTTTAAGTTTTAGAACCAAGATTCTGATCCAGGCCCAGCTTACTCCAAATTCTATTTTCTTTATACTGTGCTGTTTTCTGAGATCGCACAAGACACATGGAACAGTCAGTGAACAGATCAGCATTAACCCATTCGATGAAGAGCCAATATGAGTGACACAAGAATAAGGCAATGAAACATCTGTAAAAGAAGAAACAAAAGGAAAAATTATCAGAGAAGTTTGCCCATGAGATAATATTTGAAGGATATTTAGACACGGTCAGAAGACACTGGCAAGTTTTGCTGGCCCTATGATTTGTCCTGAGAATTGATGATAATGATAATAGCTAACATGTGCCATGCAAGAGACACTGTTGTAAATTCATTCACTTCTTTCTTTTTTTTAAAGCAGCTTTATAGAGGATGCACTAATGTTGTTATTCCCAACTTACTGGAGAAGTATGTGAGGTATACAGAAATTAATTGACTTGCTTATGACCAAGAGAGGATTTGAACTGGGAGTTGAACCTAGGCAGCCTGACTCCAAAGTCCCTAGTCTTAGTCACTATGTTAGAGGTAGGACCAGCTGCTGGGAACCTTGAAACTTAGAGAGGGGAAGTTAGGTGGATGCAGTAAGTAAAATAGAACCATTGTACTGTGTAAAGGAGTATCTAAAGAAGGTAATTTGGCAAAATGTATCTGTCAATTTTTGTACTGTGGTGGCTTGCCAGTTGCTATGAAGCTGGAATCTATGTCACTGGTATTTCAAATACCAGCAGAGTTATCCACAGTGGACAGGTTTCAGCAGAGCTTCCATACTAAGACAGACTAGGAAGAAAGACTTAGTGGTCTACTTCTGAAAAAATTGACTGTGAAAATCTTATGAATAGCAGAGGAACATTGTCTGGTATAGGCCAGAAGATGAGCCTCTCCAGTCGGAAGGCACTCAAAATACTATTGGGTAAAAGCTGCCTCCTCAGAACAGACATTCAGGCAGCTAACAGAGACGTGAGGAAGTGCTTGCAATCACTAGCCATCAGAGAAATGCAAATCAAAACTACAATGAGATACCGTCTCACCCTGACATTACTGGGACGAATCAAAAAATCAGAAAATAATAGATGTTGGAGAGGTTGTGGGGAGATTGGAACTCTTATGCACTACTGGTCGGAATGCAAAATGGTACAATCATTTTGGAAAACAGTATGGTGCTTCCTTAAAAAGCTAGAAATAGAAATACCGTATGATCCAGCACTCTCACTCTTAGGAATATATCCTAGAAAAATAAGAGCTGTCATACAGATAGACATATGCACACCCATGTTCATTGCAGCATTCTTCACAATAGCAAAAAGATGGAAGCACCCTAAGTGCCCATCAACAGATGAATGGATGAACAAACTATGGTACATCCACACAATGGAATACTACACAGCGATAAAGAACAGTGATGAATCTGTGAAACATCCCACCACATGGATGAATCTGGAGGGCATTATGCTGATTGAAATAAGTCAATCACAGAAGGATAAATACTGTATGAGACCACTATTATAAAAACACATGAAAAGGTTTCCACACATCTTTGATGGTTATGAGGGAGGGGAGGGTGGGAAGGGAAAAACACTAACTAGATTAAAAAAAAAAAAATGACTAGGAAAGAGCTACCTTCTCAAAGTAGCGTCGACCTTAATGATATGGATGGAGTAAAGCTTTTGGGACCTTCATTTGCTGATGTGGCATGACTCAAAATGAGAAGAAACAACTGCAAACATCCATTAATAATTGGAATATAAATGTTTTAAGTATGAATGTAGAAAAATTGGAAGTTGTCAAAACTGAAGTGGAACACATAAAGATCAATATCCTAGACATTAGTGAGCTGAAATGGACTGGTATTGGCCATTTTGAATGGGACAATCATATGGTCTACTATGCTGGGAATGACATCTTGAAGAGGAATGGCATCACATTCACGGTCAAGAAGAACGTTTCAAGATGTATCCCGAAGTACAACACTGTCAGTGATAGGATAATATCCATACGCCTACAAGGAAGACCAGTCACACAACCACTATTCAAATTTACGCGCCAACGTACTAATGCCAAAGATGAGGAAATTGAAGTTTTTACCAACTTCTGCAGATTGACATTGATCAAACATGCAATCAAGATGCATTGATAATTACTGGTGATGGGAATGTGAAAGTTAAAAACAAAGAAGGAGGATCTATAGTTGGAAAATATGGCCTTGGTGATAGAAATGATGCCAGAGATCGCATGATAGAATTTTGCAATACCAAAGATTTATTCATTGCAATACCTTTTTTCAACAACATAAGCGGCGACTATACAGTGGACCTCTCCAGATGGAATACACAAGGATCAAATTGACTACATCTGTGGAAGGAGATGATGGAGAAGCTCAATATCATCAATCAGAACAAGGCCAGGGGCCAACTGTGGAACAGACCATCAATTGCGCATATGCAAGTTCAAGTTGAAGCTAAAGAAAATTAGAGCAAGTCCATGAGAGCCAAAATATGACTGAGTATATCCCACCTGAGTTTAGAGACCATCTCAAGAATAGATTTGACGCATTGAACACTAATGACCAAAGACCAGACAAGTTGTGGAATCACATCAAGGGCATCATACACGAAGAAAAGCAAAAGGTCATTAAAAGACAGGAAAGAAAGAAAAGACCAAAATAAATGACAGACAAGACTCTGAAACTTGCTCTTGAATGCAGAGTAGCTAAAACAGACGGGAGAAATGATGAAGTAAAAGAGCTGAACAGAAGATTTCAAAGGGTGGCTCGAGAAGACAAAGTAAAGTATTATAATGAAATGTGCAAAGACCTGGAGTTAGAACAACAAAAGGGAAGAACAAACTCAGCATTTCTCAAGCTGAAAGAACTGAAGAGAAATTCAAGCCCTTAGTTGCAATATTGAAGGATTCTACGGGGAAAATGCTGAAGTACTCAGGAAGCATCAAAAGAAGATGTATGGAATACACAGAGTCACTGTACCAAAAAGAATTGGCCGATGTTCAGCCATTTCAGGAGGTAGCATATGATAAAGATCTGATGGTACTGAAGGACGAAGTCCAAGCTGCATTGAAGGGAATGGTGAAAAACAAGGCCTTAGGAATTGATGGAATACCAATTGAGATGTTTCAACAAACGGATGCAACACTGGAGGTGCTCACTCGTCTATGTCAAGAAATTTGGAAGATAGCTTCCTGGCCAACTGACTGGAAGAGATCTATTATTTGTGCCCATTCTAAACAAAGGTGATCCAGCAGAATGTGGAAATGATCAAATAATATAATTAGTATCACACACAAATAAAATTTTGCTGAAGATCATTCAAAAGTGGATGCAGCAGTACATCCACAGGGATCTGCCAGAAGTTCAAACCCGATTCAGAAGGGGACTTGGAATGAGGGATAGCATTGCTGATGTCAGATGGATCTTGGCCGAAAGCAGAAAATACCAGAGAGATGTTTACCTGTGTTTTATTGACTATGGAAAGGCATTCGACAGTGTAGATTTTTACAAATTATGGATAACACTGCAAAGAATGAGAATTTCAGAACACTTAATTGTGCTTGTGAGGAACCTGTACGCAGACCAAGAGGCAGTCGTTTGAATAGAACAAGCGGATACTGTGTGGTTTCAAAATCAGGAAAGATGTGCATCAGAGTTGTATCCTTTCACCATATTTATTCAATCTGTATGCTGAGCAAATAATCTGAGAAACTGGACTAGATGAAGAAGAATGAGGCATTAAGACTGGAGGAAGATTTATTAACAACTTTGATATGCAGATGACACAACAATGCTTGCTGAAAGTAAAGAGGACTTGAAGCACTTACTGATGAAGATAAAAGACTACAGCCTTCACTATCAATTGCACCTCAGCATAAAGCAAAAAATCCTCACAAGTGGACCAATAAACAACAACATGATAAACAGAGAAATGATTGAAGCTGTCAAGTATTTCATTTTACTTGAATCCACACTCAACGCCCATGGAAGCAGCAGTTAAGAAATCAAACGACGTATTCCATTGGGCAGATCTGCTGCAAAAGACCTCTTTAAAGTCCAAAAAAACAAAGATGTCACTATGAGGACTAAGGTGCGCCTGACCCAAGCCAAGGTATTTTCAGTTGCCTCATATGCATGAGAAAGCTGGATGATAAGTAAGGAAGACTGAAGAAGAATTGATGTATTTGAATTATGATGTTGGTGAAGACTATCAAGCATAGCATGGGGTGCCAGAAGAATGAACAAATCTATCTTGGAAGAAGTACTGCCAGAGTGCTTCTTAGAAGCGAGGATGGCGAGACTCTGTCTCATGCACTTTGGAGATGTTATCAGGAGGGACCAGTCTCTGGAGAAGGGCATTGTCATGGTTTGAATTATATCCCCCCAAAAGTGTGTGTATCAATTTGGCTAGGCCATGATTCCTGGTACTGTGTGATTTTCCTGTATGTTGTAAACCTGCCTCTATGATGTTAATGAGGGAGGATGGGTGGCAGTTGTGTTAGTAAGGCAGGACCTGATCTACAGGACTGGATTGTGTCCCGAGGCAATCTCTTGAGATATAAAAGACAGAAGTGAGCAGTGAGACAGGGGGACCTCATACCATCAAGAAAGCAGTGCCGGGAGCAGAGCGCGTCCTTTGGACCGGGGTCCCTGCGCCGAGAAGCTCCTAGTCTGGGGGAACACCGAAGAGAAGAAGGCCGACAGAGAGAAAAAGCCTTCCCTGGAGCTGATGCCCTGAATTTGGACTTTTAGCCTACTTGACTGTGAGGAAATAAACTTCTCTTCGTTAAAACCATCCACTTGTGGTATTTCTGTTATGGCAGCACTAGATGACTACGACAGACATCCTTGGTCAAGTAGAGGGTCAGTGAAAAAGAGGAAGACCCTCAATGAGATTAGTTGATACAGTGGTTGCAACAGTGGGCTCAGACATAGCAACGATTGTGAGGATTGTGCAGGACTGGGCAGTGTTTTGTTCTGTTGTACATGGGATCGCTATGACTTGGAAGTGACTCACGGGCACCTGACAACAACAACAATTTGGTAGAAGTTTGCAGGATAGGTTGAAGAGGGGAAGAGATGGAGGGTAGGATGCCCAACCTGATTGGCAGACCCCCCACTGATACAGTCTGAGGTGATGACCTTGGCTGGGATGTGGTGGCAATAAACATGGAGAAGCAGCACACCTGAGCAACACTGGATGTGCAAGTGAAGGAGAGAAGAGTCAGTAATGACTCCAATGTTTTTACCTTGAGGACAAGGAATTTAGGAGAGATGGTGATACAGGTGATGAGATTTGGATGCTCTCAGCACAGGGAGAATAGCTGAAGCAATGAAGATGGTTTTTCCAGTGTAGAAGAGAAGATTGAAGCTTGGAAGCCAAACCCAGGTTGGAAGCTGGAGAAAAAAAATTCAGTGACAAAGTCAAATTATGGTTAATTTGAGAGGTAGGTGGAAAGCTGGGATAGTTCAGGCTTAAAAAAAAAACTCATGGAAGAAGAATAATCTGAAGAAGGACTCAACATTATCAGCTGTGGCTTGGAGGTCATAGAGAACATGTTCTATGATTTGATGAAAAGAAGGTCATTTGGTTAACATAAGGGTATAGTTAAGTAGGGGAGTGGAGAAGGAGGGTAGTGAATAAGGGCTGTCTTCATCTCAGGAGTCATCAATAGGCAATAATGGGAAAGAAATTTGGCTTATAGACCGTAACGTTGAGTTTGGGTCCCAGCAGTCACTCCACTAATTTTATGACCTATCCAAAATAAGGATAATGATACTTCCCATATAGGTTCATTGTGAGAGTAAAGAGAAAGTCTGTAAAGTACCTAGCACAGAGCCTGGCACGTAGTAGGTTCTCAGTAGGTATTTGTTGATTGGATGGCAAGTGGCACTGGGAATTAATAAAGCAGTTCTTTGTGCCCCCTTCTCTACTTTGGAAAGTCAGAACAGAGACAAGTTCCAGTATAGTGGAAGGGGGGATGCCACACTGATTTAGGGAGTCACAGGTCCGCAGAGGCTAGTTAATGGATGATGGATAATTGTTCTACTTCTTCAGGGACATTAGCATTCAAGCAGAGGAGTAGAAGAATAATGCATGATGTCTGGTTATGATGTCTCCAACTAAGTGACAGAGTTCAGGAGAATAAGAGGTTTGGGGAGGGATGATAATGAGTTTGCTTTTAGACATGTTGATTCTGAGGTGTCTGTGAGGCAGGTTGGTTGAGATGTTAGTCAAGATGGTTGGGAATATGAGTTTGAAGCTTGGGTCAGTGGCTTTAGATTGTGATAGTAAATTGTTATAAACCATTACTATAGTTCTAAATCTCATCTCCTACATTTAGACATCCTTTTTAGAGCTTAGATCCCTGGTGATGCAGTGGTTAAGAGCTGACTGCTAACCAAAAGGTCAGCAGTTTGAATCCACCAGCTGGTCCTTGGAAAGCCTGTGGGGCGGTTCTACTCTGTCCTATAGAGTCTCTATGAGTCAGAATCAACTTGATGGCAGTGGGTTTGTTTTTTTTTTGTTTTGTTTTAGAGCTTGATCTAAACTGTTAATATAAAATGTATGTGTGTTTTATGTCTAAAGACCACAAAAGATAAAAGCTCTCTTCCTTTTCTCCTTTGCAGAATTCCACAGGACCACCCCACCCCTAGCCTTCACGACCTGTGCACCACTATCCCAACCCACCGGCTGCCCATTGACTTGTGTGTGGCTTCTCGGGTGTATCATACTGCCGACAAAAAAGGCCACAATACTCTACTTGAAATACTTGGAACATCTTTCTCAGATGATCACTCTACATATGAAGAGCAAAGAGATAGGTAAGACTTCCACAGGTAATTTTGTTTTAAACTATATTTAAGTGGTCAAAGAAATTCTGTCTTTGAGGTTTAAATTTTAAAGAAAATTCTGTTCTAGGATCAGGTTTTTGTTCTTTTCCATTCCTTTTCCAGTCTCACACAGACGAGGTCAGTATCTCCATTTCCTGCCATTATTGCCATGAACCATAGCCTATCATTAGCTAACCTTTGTGTACTGGTTTATAGTGTCCAAAGAGTGTCACATACGGGATCTCATTTGTTCTTCATAACAGCTATGGAGTACAGATGTGGAAACTGAGGCACATAAAAGTAAAGCAGCTTAGCCAGGCTTACACAACTAAGAAAGTCACAGATTTGGGAATCCAGCCTGTTAAACCAGATTACACCATCATTGGGCGTACTGGGGTCCGGGTATCACGTACAAAAGTCATCTCTTGGAGTTCCTTCCATTTCTCCTTGTATCCCAGTTTCCTTTGGAATCCGAGAATTCTTTTGTGGGAGTCTATGATTTATAGAATCCTCACAAGAGAGGAGAAAAGGGAAGGCGGTTAACATTTAACAGTCACTATATTATGAGCATCGTGTTGTGTGCTTTGTATATGTTTCCTACTTAAATCTTCAACTGTTTAAGAGAGAAGTCACAATTTTCATTTTATTTATGAAAAAACTGGGGCTCCATAAGATCAGGTAACTTGCCCTGTCTTATCTTCAGATAGTGGTTAGAATCTGGGTATGTCTACCTTGGTTTTTCTCAACCTTTTCGTTATCACCCCCTTAATGAGATTTTTTTTTTTAGATCCTTTTTCTTCTAATGGCCTCTCCCCATGAAATTTTAATACCACAGATATACAGTAGATTTATCTCTGTACTGTGTGTACACATGTACCTTACACATAAAAAGAGTACAGTCATGCACCGCAGAAAGTCCATTCAGGCAACATTTGACTGCGTATACATCCGTGATCCCATAAGGTTATAATAGAGTTCAGAAATCCTGATGGAGAACAAGACATAGCAGACGTAACCAAACATAGCAAACTCAACAGCTTCCTGCACACAACATGTGTATCTCATGTCTCTTGGATACAAAGTGACTGTGCTGCCTGGCATATAATGGTACAATACATATATAACCTATAATACATATGTCTTGATAGTCATAATAAATGCATGTATGTGCTGTACTTTCTATCGTTATTTTAATGTGAACTTTCCCTACTTACAAATAAAAAGTTTACCGTATAACAGTGTATGCCTCAACGCGTAGGCAGTAGCATCCAATCTCGTGTATTGCCAGATACATTAGCTGAAATCAGTACCGTATACGTACAGTATTTTGGCTGTTTAGTCAATACAGGTACACTCCAGTATCCCGTATAGCTTTACTAAGTATATAATATGGTGTTCACACAATATCCAAATCACATGACGTCCTATTTCACAGAATGTATCGTGGACGTTAAGCCACACATGACTGTATATATTTTTTAACCTCCAGGAACCAATTTTCACACTTTTGGGGGCTGTATCACCTCCCTATTGAGAATGCATGCTCCTAAGGCTCTTGCGTTTCAGATGGGTTGGTAGGAATCCTGAGAAATCATCTACTACAGGCTTTAAGAGTATTAAAAATATTAAATATTACATTTCATTTAAAAGAGAAACTTTTTCAATATTTTAACTATCCTAGATTTGTGAGACTGTTTTAAAAAATCATTCAAATTATACTAATTATCACAAAATTATTAGTAATTTACCCACAGTTTTATGGTATTCTAAGCCCATTTCCTCAAACTTGATTTTTAGTAAAAATTGGAATAGTTTACTACATTCTTTTATGGTTTAAAATCACCTGATTACCCAGTGGTTAGTAATTACAATGAGTTTCGTTTGAATCTCTAAAAGAGGCTCATTCTCATGTTTATATTTGATTTAAGCAAAAGGTGTTTTTAGGATTTGTCAACCGTGAGGATGGTGCAGGACTGGGCAGCATTTTGTTTTGTTGTACATAGGGTTGCCATGAGTTGGAACCAACTCAATGGCACCTAACAACAACAACAAAGTATTCTCATTTGAATTTATTAAGTCAGTGTTTGCTAAATTTTTGAAAAAAAATCATATGTGAAGAATTTTGGAAATTTTGACACTGATTCAGTATCTCTAGTAGGAAAAAATTGTCCTGCGTGACATTTTCTGGAATGTCTTTTAGAAGCTTAAAGCTGGGAGTCAGAAATAAAGATGTAAGTCATGAAATGATGTTTTGAGCCATTTCTGTTAGCATTCTGCAAGCCAAGCATCATTTTGAAGACTTGAAGCTTCTGTTATTCATGTGAAGTGTTAAAAATGATGATTTCTTTCCAATTCTAAATTTTTTTTCTTTAAGTAGACCTCACTTTCTTTTCCCAAGAAAGTCAATAAGTGTTCTATTTGATGATGATAATTCTTGGCAATTTGTTCCTGAGTACCAAATAAGAAGTTAATTTGAGTACTGAATATTTAATTCTGTAGTATCCATTTCTTGAGGATTACCTTGGTAAACATAGCTTAACCTTTTCAAAATATATCTGTCTCCTGAGCCTACACGTTCAGAGCAATGTATAATTTTTTCTGCACTAATAAGTGTTCTCAAGAAAGATAATTGTAAACACAAAATGGATGCTCTTTCACTTGGTGACTTTTTGGTTTTTGTGTACAAAGAACAGTTAACTCCAAAGCATAATAATACTTGGTTATATAGTTTCAATGCTTTCCTAATCCTGTGTATAGTGGTTGTTACTTGTGGCAAACCTCAGGGATATTTTAATGGAATAGTAAGGGTACATACTTAATTTTATTTGAAATAGCAATGTACTATTTGAACTTCTGTTTATTTTGCTAAACAGCAATTTTGATGAGAACTATAAAAATATTCCACATTGACTACAGTTTTGCTTTTAAAAATAATTTCTAAATTGTTAACTTTATAGACATTATTTAGTTAGGATTCTTGACATGGAATTTCTGACTTTGGGTTTTATAACAGGAGAAATCATTAAAAGGTGCCATGAAACACTTCGATTAATGTTAATAGTTTGGTGAACAGACTCCCAGACATTTTTGTATATGTACATGTTTAAACTATACACGGCATTCTGTATTTTTTTATTCAATGTATGTGTGAACATTTAGATTATTTCATGATATTTACAAATTTAGTCAAGCTATAATGTAGGAAAATCCATAGGAGGAGAATTATTGATTCAAAATTTTTGTTGAAAATTTTGATGCGTATTGCTGGATTTCTCTTTAGAAAAGTTATACCAATTTATACTCTTACTAACAACTTATAACACGGTTCATTTCCTTACACTCTTACCAAAGTATAATTGTCATTTTTTTGATCATTTTGTGATCTGATGAGGAAAAATAACTTATTTATATTAATTTCTAGTAAGGTGAGCATATTTTTAGATGTTTCTTGGCTATTTGATTTTCTTCTTTTTGAGAATTACCAGTTCATAGTCTGTTGATTTGTCATTCATCTCTTCCTTACTGATATTTAAGTAATCGTTTTATATTAAAGGCTTTAATTATTTGTCATATATATTGTAGACTTTTTTCACTTTGTTGTTTGTTCTTCATTGTTGTTTATGGTATTTTATGCTGTACAGAAGTTTTAATTTTTATGTAGTTGATACTAGCAATTATTTCTTTATATATTCTTATCTTGATGTCATTCTTTTAAAGGCCTTTTCTACCCTTAGATTTTATACATATTCTCTCACATTTTCTTCTAGTAACTTTATGGCTTTGTACAGAAGTTTTAATTTTTATGTAGTTAATACTAGCAATTGTTTCTTTATATATTCTTATCTTGATGTCAAATCTACCCTTAGATTTTAAACATATTCTCTCACATTTTCTTCTAATAACTTTATGGCTTCCTTTTAAAAATTAAATCTTTGATCCATCTATAATTTATTTGGATAAGAGGAATAAGCATTATTTTTTTTCTAAAAGGCTAGCCAAATGCACAACATTATTTATTTCATAAATTCTCTTTCCCCCACTGATTTGAAATGCCAGCTTTTTATACCTTAAATTGCAATGTTTTATTGAGTCTGTTTATGGAATTTGTTCCGTTTCGCTGATTTGTCTATGTAAAACTACTTGTGTATTTTTTTTATCCACCATTAATAAACAGAGAGTCGATGGCAGAAATACTGTTCTACAAACATTGGCTGACCTTACCAAGTCAGGTACCCCTATGACCAGATTCCTGGGGTAAGCAGTGCTTAGGCTTTATTTAGATCCTAAGGCCTAACCCTCAACTTAGCTTCAAATTGCAAATGAAATGCCTAGTCAAATTTAGAAAAAATGTGGATAGACCATTATTTCTATACATTAAAATAGCAACAACAACTGGAAAACCAAAGGTTAAGGGTCATAATTCAGTGTTTAAGTTTATTTTTTATTGTTTTGTTGCAAAATAATAATAATAATTGTAAAAATGGCTTGGGAGAGGTGTCTGACCTCCTCCAATCCCGCAAGGGGACAGGAGAACCAAGATCAGCAGCCCAAGACTGATTCCTATGAGGCAGAGGTCAGACGTGCCTCCTCTTTCCACCATCTTTACCAACTCTAATACCAACCGTCCCTCCCACAGTACTCTGCTTCTCTACTGGGTTCGATTATTCATTGCAATGGCCACACAGATCTCACAGACCACACTTACGATTATGGGGTTTATTAAACAAGTAACAGTTACAATTCAGGCTCAAGAACATTCAAGATATACTTCTTCCATCAGGACAGCCTCTTCCCAGCCATGCTCGCAAGCATGCCTCTCCCTGGCCTTCAGTCTCTGCGCAAAGGCACTCAGCTTCCTCTCTCCAAGGGCTGGGAAGCCCACCCACCGTCTCCTGCTGCCTGGTCTCTCCTTCCTTGGTGGTGAGCTCCTCTCTCTGCTCTGGAATTGGCTCTCTTTTAAGGCAAAACCGACCAGTCCCCTTGGTAGGCCA